TCAACTCTATGCGAAGGAGATGTGTTGCACTGCGTGAGGCAAATGGTGGTCACACCAGATGCTGACTGGTTTTCGGACCCCCCCAATAAAGCAAAACTGCACGTTTCAGAGTGGCCTGTTATTGTGGCCAGCCTAAGGCACACCTGTGCAATAATCATGCTGTCTAATCAGCATCTTGATATGCCACACCTGTGAGGTGGGATGGATTATCTCGGCAAAGGAGAAGTGCTCACTATCACAGATTTTTTCAGATTTGTGAACAATATCTGAGAGAAATGGTTATTTTGTGAATGTAGAAAATATTTTAGATCTTTGAGTTCATCTCATGAAAAATGGGAGCAAAAACAAAAGTGTTGCGTTTATATTTTTGTTCAGTGTAGTAATTAAAGAGAAGTGGTTGTTGGTAATGAAAAACCATCAGGCTCCTTCACTCATTAGGTAGCCTAAGCACAACAACAACAAAATAATATGCAAGTAGAATATGGGGCTCTAATAGTGCAGAGGTTATAATATAGGGATGAAGTATAAAATTAAAATAAAATAGCAAATATTTGCAGGAAGAGAAAGAGGTACTTGGATTATTTGAATTTGTATTCAGGTAAAAGTAGTAAAAACAAAATACAGAAATACTCTATAACAAGTATATGTCATGCATTTAAATATTTATTAATTAAGTACCAACATTGTTAGTACTCATTTTGCAGAATGGCCAATATCTAAATAATTTTGATTTGATGCATTAATATGTTAATCGTTAATAATAAAAATATATAGCGATGTCAACAGGGTGTAAAACTTGAAGTCCATCAGAAAGAGTACTTAGTTACTGATAAAAAAAAACACACCATACTCTCCATATCATGTTTTGCTGTGTAATGAATTGAATGTATTTATATTATATATAAGACTCCCCTGTTTCTTCCTATGTGTTGTCGGCATACTGTCAGCAAGTTGCCATATAATTCCCAGGTAAAATAAACTCATATTGTCCAATATATAAATACAAATTGCCGTTTTCATTATAAAAATTCAGGAGTCCACAGAACATTTCAAAACATCCTTCATGTGGTTAGGACTTCCGGGTGCTTTGCTATCTGAGTTGTGAGCAGCTTCCCCTGCGGCCTGGAGGACACACAGGTCAAATGAATACCGTTTAAAAGCCCATTCAGATTATTTATATTTTAACTTTAACCGTTTTCTTAACGTCAACTGTTCTCTTAACTCCCTCCCACTAGAAAAACTGCATTGGGTCACAATGGTGGTTAGCGATTGGCTAACAGAGTAGATTGACAGCTGGCCAACCAATGAAACAGAGGTATGACATGACAGGTTCACAGCTGCTCTAAAATCAATATATTTTAAATGTTTTGCCTACAAGTAATACATAACAAATACATAAATTGGCAAAAGTAATTAGATAAAGCTTTATTTCAGCTAATGAGATCACTGAAAATGTAACATTGGTAATATAAAACTCATATAATTGTTGTTGTTGTGTTGTTGTGTGATTTTGGTTTCATGTTACTGTAAGTATTTTTATTTATTTATTGAATAAGGGGCAGGTAAAATAAGATTTTCCTTTGTCTTGAGTGGAATAAACTAATAAATAAAAATATATAAATAAATATAATAAATGCGGTTTCACAATGCGGCATTCACTGCGCATGCGCAAACCTACAGGAAGTGTTAACATTTTCTCTCACCAGCTGATGAAGCCAAATTGTCAACAGTGAAACCTGCGATATCTGCTGAAACCACAGTAAACACGGTGAATATTCTTCATATATCCCTCTCAGTATCTCTTTATTATTCGTGCCATCAGCTAGTATCTGTGTGTTTATTCTGGCGTCGAAATATAGATTGTGTTTCGTCTGAAATTAGGGGTCCCGTTAGCACAAAGATAAAATAAGCTGGTGTTAATATTGACATTTACACTTCAAAATACCCAAATGAGGTGGTGTTAAAGGACTGGTTTGCTGCAGGGGTGGATGTTTTTCAGTATTGAAGTATATCAGGTGGGAGACAGGCAGCAATATGAGCAGCATCTCTGCTAAAGCTCAGGTTTCACTGCAGGATAAGGCACACAGCTAGCAAATAATCAAACATGTCTAAATCAGTGGACACAGAGGAGACATTCAGGGCTGGAAAGATGCATTTCCTGTGCAGGGATTAACCTCCATTTTCTAAAAGAGCAATAATCTGTCCATCTTTTTTTATCATAGAAGCGTTTGTGAGGTCAGATGTGACCACAGAGATGTAAAGAAATTCAGTTGCAATGCAAAGTTGTGTCTTGCTATTCCTTGAGTTCATGTCTAAACTAAAAATAAACAATCTAGCTTTTTGTTTTTCTCAAATTAGTCTCAGCAGCATCCGTGTTAAAGCTCACTTTTCTCTGCAGAATAAGGGACACAGTGGGAACAATGGGAACTATTATTATAGTTGATTATGAATTAGTGACACAGAGGAGACATTCAGGGCTGAAAGAGTTGCTTTTCTTGCGCAGGAATTATCCTTCATTTTCTAACAAAGCAATAATCTGTTGCTCTAATATCATACAGGCGTTTGTTGCTTTGATAGAAAAGTGTTTTTGAGGTAAGATATGATCCACAGAGATGGAAAGAAATTCAGTTGCAATGCTAAGTTGTGTCTTGCTATTCCTCGAGTTCATGTCAGATTGACGGATATGTTTTCTTTATGGATTTAGAAGACAACGTGTGAAAACGTATTTCCAACATGTAAAGAAGAGGACAGACAAACACAGACATCATACAAATAGATAACAACACAAATTCACTTTTGATAGATGTGACTGTTTCAAATCTATCTGGCAAACATAACCACTTCTCTTTTTGGATGACGGTAAGCATCACCATCTAATATTGTAAACCCTTGGATAATAATACATGTCACACACTTAATAGAGGAACATATCTACTTATCTTTGAGAGCTTGACTCATTTTGTTTTCTACAAATCAGTTTCTATACGTATGTCCAGATATGTGCAAATACAAGAGGGCAACAGAGGAACCAGGAGCATGAACGGTAAACACATCATAGCTCAAAATATATTAGCTTTGTGCAGAAAGATACACAAATGTTTTCTTAATGTAAATAAAACCTATTTCTCATGATGGCAGGTGACAAGCAGCAGACAACATTTACCTTGTATATTGCATGTGGCAGGGGCTGGTTTCAGTACCTTATTGTGATTTATTTGATACTCTAGGACACAAGTGTCAAACTCAAGGCCCGGGGGCCAAATCAGGCCCTTGGTGGATTTAATTTCGGCCCGCAGGATAATTTCTAATTACTTTTAGATCTGGCCCGCCGGTATATTGCACGCACACCTTCACTCCATCCTGAGGGTCTCTTCAGCTCAGAGCCTGAGCCCAAACATTGATGACCTTGCACCCAAGATGAGATGCCAAGTATCTGAGCTAGCATCACAGAGCAGCACACTGAGTTTAATGGATGTTTCCTTCTGCACTTTCTCTCTCATGACAACAGGGCATGTTTGGTTTTCTCTTTGAGGGAAATAGTTTTGTTGAAGCTGTTGTTGGCCTGTGGGAAAATGTGATCATAAGAAATGACTCAGAAAAGCTGCAGATAGAGCCATAAGAAATGAATGAACTGATTATTTAATGTTTAATGTTGTTTTTATAGGCAATCATTTAAGCTTTGTTAGTTCCAGGTTTAAAATGTGCAATAAGTTCATTTCAATAAGTTCTGCTATAAACATTGAACCAGTCCGGCCCTCCACTAGTACACATTTTTAAATTTGGCCCACTGTGTATTTGAGTTTGACACCCCTGCACCTAACGGACCATCAAAGCAACGGCTACCAAAAACTTTAATTTGGATTTGCAATATGAATAGTTTATATAATAAAATATCGATACTTGGCGTCCAATACAATATCGCCACGCAAAGTATCGTGATACTCTGCTGTATCGATTATTTCCCCCGACCTATCTACTGCGCTGTTTAACAGGTAGCGTCTCCAGAGCCAGAGAGCAGAGAGGAGGAAGATTCTTCAGAAAACACCACCTCGTCTTCCTCACCTCCTCAGGTCGCCCCCCCC